ACATCAAGTTCAAAAGTTGTTGAACCGTTTAGATCCGGATCAGTCCGGTCGGACAAAACCCGATTAGATCGGTACCGGTTTAGTTCAGTCGGGGCAAACCCTGACCGATCTGGTTCAATCCGGTTGGACCATACCGGTCGGTTTAGTCAATGGTGGATTGACTTGGGTCGGCTCATATCAGGTTTGTGCACGGGTTTGGGGCCGAACCGATTGGCCCGAAGAGGGTCAAAATAAGTAAATCGGACTAGGCTGGATTCAGGTAGGGTTGAACGGATATGAACCAAACTGGATGATCCAAACCGGGCAAAGCGAGCATGATGGTTTAGGGTTCGGACCTCGCTGGTCTAACCCATTTTGGATTCGGGTCGACCCAAATCAGCTTGTGTTGGGTCGAGCCGGACTGTGTGAATAATGGTTGGACCGAACGACCCAAATCAGGCAAAGCAAGCGGTACCGAGCCATCATATCCGAGATTTATTTTGAATTCGGGTCGACCCAGATCAGTATATATTGGATTGGGTCAGACCATGTTGAACCGGTCCAGACTTGGGTCAAATTGATTTGGATTTATGTTGGGTGAAGTGTGTTGATTCAAGACAAAACTAAATTTAGTCAATAAATAATAGAAAATTAATGCATTAATTATAAATTATTTAATTCAAATGAAGAAAATAAAAAGGCTAAGGATTTAATACTAATGTTTGTAATGGTTAACCCAACGGTTATCCACAACCCAACCCAACCCAACCCGTTTAAATGGGCGGGTTGGGTGATGGGTTGATCACACAACCCGCCAAGTAAATGGGTGGGTTAGATACTAGGTGGGTTCAGTGGATTGGGTGAAAAATTGCCACCCCTACCTATGGTTTGCAACTTATTTACTCTAATCAACCTTTTACTAAGAAGTGTTTATTTTGCCATCTAAATACAGTAACATGATCACATGAATTAAGTAAAAAACGTTCATGGGTATGGGTTTTTGATTGTTTATTCCAAAAGTACTGTTAAGATTTCTTCATATAGAAAACAAAATTAACCAAATAGAGTGATTACTTGTGTCTTACTAGTTACTAAGGACAAAAATGGTATTTTCATTTTTATTTTCTTTTGATTAAATTAATTGAAATGGACATTAGGGTCAAAACTGTCATTTTCTATTGTCATTTAATGGAAGGTCGAGTAAGTAAATAAATTGCAAACTAAAGGGGTGTTTTAGTAAAATGTAAACTATAGGATAGATTTTAGTAAATCCATAAAATTGTAGGGGATGTTTTAGTAAAATGTAAATTATAGAGTAAATTTTAGTAAATCCATGAAACTATAGGGGGGTGTTTTAATAAATGACCCATAGAAAAAATACTTTAGGAGTCCCTTCCTCAGCTTTGATGCTACCAAATGTTTTACTTATGTTCCAACACCGTGCAGAAATAGAAGAGGGGATAAACTGAACAGGTTAGATTGGATTAAGGTCCAAACCCTAACCCAACTTTGGCTCAAGCCAAGGTTAATGTCTAATCTTTCTAACCCAAACCCCATAAAAACTAGTGCCAACACAATGTAAGATGGGCTCAGATGATTTGTTTAGGTTTGAAAGTCCTTTCATCATGTATTTCCAACAACTACAAGATGGCACAAAATGTGTCCATTACGAAAATATTGTTTTTGGTTCATCACTTCCATAGATGGTAAACCATGGTTTTCAAACCGTCATTGATTTGGACGATTGGACTATTTGGCCCTGAAACCATTTAGTCAACCAATTCTGCTTTACCATTAAACCGGAATCTTGCCAAAAACCATTAACTTAGTTAATGACCCACTGACCCGGGTAGTCAAATTGTCAACCCATTCGACCCACACAACAGTTTTTAACTATTTTTTATTTAAATTATTTTTTTTAGTTTTATACTTTATTTAAAATTGAACGAATCATCCATTGTGATCAAATAGTCTAATCATTGACCAAAAAACCAGTGACCAAAGCAGTTCTAGTTTCGAATTAATTTTTAAAACATTGTGTGGTAAACTATGAATTCTATGCTGGATGTTCTGGATGTTTTGTTAAATTTGAAGTCACTAGAATGCCTACTTCCATATCATGGAAGCAAGAACATCCATTTTGATAGAAAGCCTGCATTTTTCTACAAGTTTGAAAGTGAAAATTCACAAGACGATAAATTCCATTCTCCCTTTTATTAATACAACAGCTTCTTATTAATGCGGCTTTCTTCTTCACCACATTATTGTGGCTGATTCATATGGCGTAGATATCTTGCTAAGATCAAAGACGGAGAGAGATGGGTGTGAAACATGGACCGACCCATGCCATAGATGGTGACCACAGCATGCATGTCAAGTGCTGAATTACTAGTAAGGATGGATGAGAAGGAGAGTGGTGGGCAAAGACAAGGATATGTGGCCGATCCTCCATTTCTGCTGAGCTACTGATGATGGTCCTCTACGTTGGGCCATTAGACTTGCCTATCCAATTTGGAAGCTAAGAATAGGGCTGTCAATGGTATCTGAAAATCCGAATGGATGGGAAGGAGAGTGGTGGACAACGACAAGGATATATCATATATGTGGCTGATCCTCCGATAGGGACCATTAAATCATGGTCCTCACTCCTCTACAGTGGGCTACCGTGGGCCATTAGAATTGCCTACCCAATTTGGAAGCTCGAGGAGAACCCATACTTTGATGGGTTTTCAAATGGTAATAACGCCCATTATATATATATATATATATATATTGATGGTATTGAAAGCTGATGGATTACGATTACGAGTGGGTTCATCAGTTCATCCTTCCCAATTGGAAAGATAGACGATGGTGCATTAAAACTCTACCAAATGAGAAGTTGCCATGTGGACAACTTGACATGCATTCAGTGATATTATGTAACCTGACCACCAAAAAGCAAAAGTATCATGGTTGGACTTATCAGAATAATTAAGCTGATCTGAAACCATCATGGGGATTTCAATTAACGATAGATCGATGGATGTACAGAATGAGATATATAGAATAAGACATATGGTATCAGAGAAAAATATCAACACCAAAGGGTGTAATATGGAAGTAGGCTGCTGCTCATATGAAACGCTTATTTGGATGATGAATCACCCTTTAAGTTTAAGAAAGGACAGCCTTGAGTGGAGGAGGGTTGTCTTGTGCTGTGGCTGCAGAGACCAGTGGTCCCTTCATTAGACCTCCAAACAGTTCTCCCGGGTCGTAATAAATCTCAACCTCTTCAGCTCTGAGAGACTCATCAACCTGTGAAACAGCAATAGAAGAAAGTCATTAACTCATCCAGTCTGGGCCGTAGTAGGATGACTAACTTGAATTCATTCTCTGTTGCTGAAGTTAACTATATATACTGGGTAGCAGGTTGAATGGGAGGGGGCCGCCAATTGTTGGCATTATCAGAATCCATGAAAACATGCTCCAGAGTACTTCATTCTAAGAGAATACAGAAGAGGATTCAGTAGAGAGATGCTGGTAGCTAATAAGTAATTATACCTTGAGAACTCCCATCCCATAAAATTCATGTAAGAATAAATAAAGGGGAGCAAATCAATCCTTAGTCTTGCAGAATCATACCAATATCATTCATGTACGAAGAACAATAAGACATGTTGCACCCCAAAGAATATCATGCTGTAGTTATCAAGGAGGTTTAAACGTGCATACCTGTATCCATCGCAGTAGTAGAAACCTTTGCGGAATGAGTGATGAATCAATAGTAGGTCGACCGTGGTTTTCCTCAGTTAAATCTTCCTTTTTCCTTAGGTTTTCTCAGCTCTTGACTCTAATGGGGTAGAGCAAGAGGGCGGCTAGATGATTTAACATATTGGGAACCATAACCTAGGAGCCTTTATATTT